GCCGCTTCACTGATCTATGCTGTAAACAGTTCTGCGACTGACTCAGTGATGGTATCCTTTCATTTCACCCCTGATTTTCTCTTGCCTGATATCACAGGAATGAAAAGGAAGGCACGTATTTAGTAGTTTTCAACATCTTCCTTGCAACTATCGTTGGACGAACAAACAAGTGTGAAAAGTCACATCAAGCTCGTGTGAGTCTGCATAGTCCGAATTGGGCTTTCGTTACACGGACGCTCAGTCATGAATCATTGGTGGGTAGGTTGGGCTTAATTTGCTGTATTTCCGCGAATTGTGACGGTGCAACTGCCGTGTCTCGGCCGTCGACTACTCCGTCACGTGCGAAATGGTCATATTACTGCACCTCACCATTTCCTTTTGGCCTATCAACTGCGATGTTTTAGCCAGATGATCGATTGTGGCTTGTTCGGTGGGATGCATCTTTTAATAATCTCTGTCAATGCATTCGATCGTGGAAAACAGGCAGGTATTTTTCAATGTTGACGGCGCTGACGGCTATCATTGAGAGGCTTTGTGCGGATGAAGTGTGTCAGTATGCTGATGTCTGATTAAAAGCTGACTCATGGTCCAATGTGGTGCGAATCCCATCGTCCTCAGGCTAAATGATCGATCTCAACGGTCCATTGCGACTTGGTCCACCGATCTTCATCCTCTGGGTTGTGACCTGATCTACAACAGGCTCATAGACAGTAGGTCATCCGGATCGGTGCGGACCGCTAGTGTAACCCGACTATGCGCAATCGTAGAGTTTTTCAATCACTGTTCACCGGCAGATCCGTATTGGATGCCCGCTAGCCACAGGCGTATCGGCACTTCCAGACTGCTGCAAGTTCATGCCTTAACCACCTCGAGATCGCCCTTGTAATACGAGAATGGTCGCGCAAGGGCCATTCTGTAAGCGATTGATCGCAGTCCAGTATGAGGAAAATCAACCACCAATATACAGGCCGATTTGGAGGCTTGATAGTCTGTTGACAAGACCCAAGTTGGACTGACGAGATACGACGATGAAGATGCTTGGTGCAACGCAGTCTCTGTACGTGAGACTGAGATGAACTTTGGATCACGCGTTCAGAGCTAAATTCGATACATTTTTTGACGAAATATACTACAATTGAAGTTGCTGGAAGCTCATATACCAAAGCTATACGGGAGAAAGTCACATAGGGCTAACTGAAGCACTAAGCACCACGATTGTGTTCATTGGCCCGAATTTCGGAGCACACACCTATAGGTATTTAGCTAATGAGGCTCAGTGGCAATGGTGTCCACGAACGGTTCACGTGAAGTCATGTACCGCAAATGTTGGTAGGAGGCTGGCAACTGCGGCCTGTACGGAACAGCTCATAGGTGGACCCTAGCTTTGATTAACTGCCGTGTACACGGCGTAGATGGCGTATTGTACCTTGGACTACCTGATGATCACGTCATCAGTCCGAATCCCGGTGCACACCCTATCCAGAGGTATTCTAGACGCGGACGAGCACTACAACTTCGAATTCACGAACATTTATTAGCCCAAACTGAAAGGAGTATGAAGTGGTGCGTTTCATTTTACAGAGTCTGAAGCGATTTGCGACTGTATAAAGTTTTACGGAGTCTTCCGTTGGATTGTAGCATATCAGATGTCGCGAGTGCGCGTCACGTCCTGCGTTTTTCCAATGATCTGTAAGTCTACCACTGTACCGTTACATTCAGAATAGAGCACTGGATGGCCGAATTCACGAAACTCAGAACCCCATATTTCTGCACCTTTTTAAATTCAGCTGCAAGGATTAATATCAGATGCATGGAAACCAATCAACCCGCACCCATGCACTGTTCAATGATGGATTATTACAACGAAAAACAATCCACAGGGTCGGGCTCCCTCAGCATCTAGCCCAGTGAAATTTCGACTACTGATTTGCCGAACGCTAGCCATGTGACACTGCAGACTCAACCATGAAATGCGTTGGATGGCTGAGAAGTTTCAAAAGTAAAGCGATTTGTGGGCGTTTCGGTTGAAATGGTCTTGCGTACTTCTACTTTAGGTAAAATAGTATGCCTGGACAAGACAAGTGGCAAACAGCTTGAAAACTGCAAATGGTATCAACTGCATCTAATTCGCGTTAGTACCACAAGTGTAAAAAACAGTGGCCTTTGCAAAAAGATGCTCGCATATTAATCATCTTATCGAACAAACTATTGGAGGATTACCCGTTCGGATAATTCATGCACACCACACCCCCAACTACAGAACTCGGGTTTATCACCACCTCCCTGTAAGCATTACATGTAAGCATTACATCTAATGCTTGATGTGCCGATCTCACTTTGTTTTCTTTTGAACATGCGCCACACCAGTTGGATTCGGCCAGCAGCCAGCCGTAGCGCCTACTGAGTGCGTTGCCTGGTGACCTGACTCAGCGTTCACAGCTTAATCTGGACGCCCATCGAAAGTACGTATTCCATGACCGGCATCCAAATTATAGTCAACCGCGCCGTGACGTAACAATATCGCAGCACCTTTGTTCTTCTTAGCCAGATGATCGATTGTGGCTTGTTCGGTGGGATGCATCTTTTAATAATCTCTGTCAATGCATTCGATCGTGGAAAACAGGCAGGTATTTTTCAATGTTGACGGCGCTGACGGCTATCATTGAGAGGCTTTGTGCGGATGAAGTGTGTCAGTATGCTGATGTCTGATTAAAAGCTGACTCATGGTCCAATGTGGTGCGAATCCCATCGTCCTCAGGCTAAATGATCGATCTCAACGGTCCATTGCGACTTGGTCCACCGATCTTCATCCTCTGGGTTGTGACCTGATCTACAACAGGCTCATAGACAGTAGGTCATCCGGATCGGTGCGGACCGCTAGTGTAACCCGACTATGCGCAATCGTAGAGTTTTTCAATCACTGTTCACCGGCAGATCCGTATTGGATGCCCGCTAGCCACAGGCGTATCGGCACTTCCAGACTGCTGCAAGTTCATGCCTTAACCACCTCGAGATCGCCCTTGTAATACGAGAATGGTCGCGCAAGGGCCATTCTGTAAGCGATTGATCGCAGTCCAGTATGAGGAAAATCAACCACCAATATACAGGCCGATTTGGAGGCTTGATAGTCTGTTGACAAGACCCAAGTTGGACTGACGAGATACGACGATGAAGATGCTTGGTGCAACGCAGTCTCTGTACGTGAGACTGAGATGAACTTTGGATCACGCGTTCAGAGCTAAATTCGATACATTTTTTGACGAAATATACTACAATTGAAGTTGCTGGAAGCTCATATACCAAAGCTATACGGGAGAAAGTCACATAGGGCTAACTGAAGCACTAAGCACCACGATTGTGTTCATTGGCCCGAATTTCGGAGCACACACCTATAGGTATTTAGCTAATGAGGCTCAGTGGCAATGGTGTCCACGAACGGTTCACGTGAAGTCATGTACCGCAAATGTTGGTAGGAGGCTGGCAACTGCGGCCTGTACGGAACAGCTCATAGGTGGACCCTAGCTTTGATTAACTGCCGTGTACACGGCGTAGATGGCGTATTGTACCTTGGACTACCTGATGATCACGTCATCAGTCCGAATCCCGGTGCACACCCTATCCAGAGGTATTCTAGACGCGGACGAGCACTACAACTTCGAATTCACGAACATTTATTAGCCCAAACTGAAAGGAGTATGAAGTGGTGCGTTTCATTTTACAGAGTCTGAAGCGATTTGCGACTGTATAAAGTTTTACGGAGTCTTCCGTTGGATTGTAGCATATCAGATGTCGCGAGTGCGCGTCACGTCCTGCGTTTTTCCAATGATCTGTAAGTCTACCACTGTACCGTTACATTCAGAATAGAGCACTGGATGGCCGAATTCACGAAACTCAGAACCCCATATTTCTGCACCTTTTTAAATTCAGCTGCAAGGATTAATATCAGATGCATGGAAACCAATCAACCCGCACCCATGCACTGTTCAATGATGGATTATTACAACGAAAAACAATCCACAGGGTCGGGCTCCCTCAGCATCTAGCCCAGTGAAATTTCGACTACTGATTTGCCGAACGCTAGCCATGTGACACTGCAGACTCAACCATGAAATGCGTTGGATGGCTGAGAAGTTTCAAAAGTAAAGCGATTTGTGGGCGTTTCGGTTGAAATGGTCTTGCGTACTTCTACTTTAGGTAAAATAGTATGCCTGGACAAGACAAGTGGCAAACAGCTTGAAAACTGCAAATGGTATCAACTGCATCTAATTCGCGTTAGTACCACAAGTGTAAAAAACAGTGGCCTTTGCAAAAAGATGCTCGCATATTAATCATCTTATCGAACAAACTATTGGAGGATTACCCGTTCGGATAATTCATGCACACCACACCCCCAACTACAGAACTCGGGTTTATCACCACCTCCCTGTAAGCATTACATGTAAGCATTACATCTAATGCTTGATGTGCCGATCTCACTTTGTTTTCTTTTGAACATGCGCCACACCAGTTGGATTCGGCCAGCAGCCAGCCGTAGCGCCTACTGAGTGCGTTGCCTGGTGACCTGACTCAGCGTTCACAGCTTAATCTGGACGCCCATCGAAAGTACGTATTCCATGACCGGCATCCAAATTATAGTCAACCGCGCCGTGACGTAACAATATCGCAGCACCTTTGTTCTTCGGTCCTACTAGGTCCGCATACCCCACGCACGTGTCCTGTCTGCTCCATATTAGGAAAACAGAACCTTTCAGCTTGATTCATATGGTATCCTTCATTAAGCACACAAGGTCACTAATGAATGAAATCGATCGATGCAATTCCGGTAAATCGAGGCGCCACCAATAACCGGACCGAGTGATTTCAGACGGACTTGAGGACAACCACGGGGTTATCACAACTTCATTGACCAGGTGCCTAGACGCTTGTGACTAAGAATTCGGTTTACAATGAATCACATCCCCATCCCGTTTCTAGAAAATGAGGAGAAAATCATACAATTTATGTCTTTTGGACGAGATTGGACTAATTTGCTTTTGCTTCACTGCGGTTTTCGTACAAACGGAAAACGGAAAAAGGAAAGGAGAAAAATAATTATCATAGTAAAACGGAATCCAAGCAAACCGGGAGAAAAGTGGAACCACAACCCCTATTGGCAACAGTATTTGTGTACGGTGGGGGTAGTGATCGGGAAGTAATTTATACAAGCCCTCTAAATGGTCACCGGTACGCACAATCACTGGTCACTTTCGCATAAATAAGGTTCCAAGCAGGGTGGCCAAACCGAAAACGCCGATGGCCTTGAATAAATCAGATTTTCCGAGCGCTGGCCAAAGGGAGTAAAGATCGTCGACAGTTGCATCGGAGCGATAGTTTGCAAACTCCAAAAGTCCCATCTGCAGAAGAGATATTGGGAAAAACATTAGTTGCAGCCACAAATCAAGAGTGTCGTGTCGATGACAGTAACAAACAATGAAGGCGATAGATTATACTGTTTTCGAACTAAACACATCTGCTTGGGAGTCTACGTTGAAATTACTCAATCAACTGTTGCGCCTCGTGTAAGAGCATACCACCGATGAGTGGTGCACATGCATCTCGGTGACAACAGTCACTGCAAGGTGTTATTCACATTCGTCAAAAGTGGTCATCCAAACCACGTCCGTTAGATTTCTGCTGTGTGCATATGTCACTGGTAGATGAGACGACGTTGGACAGCCATTCATGCGAGATGTCATAAAGACCGTCTAGATTATTGACAGAATTCATAAAAAGTAACACAAGGAATCATATACAGGGAATCAACATGCGTTTAGCCGGGGTGACACATACTCGTCATAGATGTGACAACAGAAATACTGCCGTGTGATCAGACACTCAAGGTCATTGTGTGACCTGGCACCAGATGTATCATATGAACCAGAAAAGTGAATCAAACCACGAGAAAGAAAGGCAACAAATGCCTTCTGGGAGATATGAGCATACTCACTCAGTCTCCATTCTCGTGAGTAGCTCAGACGTTGGTTCACTGTCACCCTGAGAAGACGGATAGAATTCAGAATCACCGCTTAACGAAGCCTTCTGTCCGACTTCATTTAATATTATGACAAAAGTAAAAACGGCACGCAGCTTACCCAGCCACCATGTGCTAGAATCCAAGGTCGTAATCGTTCGGTGCAAAAGGTCACTGTAGCCTGTACTATAGAATCAGCCTCTCGTAACTTTTGTTCATTCTTCAATCGTCTCACAACGACACGTAAAAACCCAAACATAACCACAATACGCCCCCAGTTTTGCCGATCAAACATTGTGAATAAAACTTCCATATAGCTCTGTTCCAGGGAACCTTCAGTGTCCAGACTGCCACGGCTAAATTTCTCGATACTGTCAACAAGCCTTGGTGACGTGGACAACCGCCCGTCGAATTCGTTGACCAGCTGGAGAAGGCACTCAACCAATCTTCTTATTTCCGATGCACTGTAAGGGTCATCCACTGCGGACCGGCCCCAGTTTGTCTGTTCAGGACTAACGATACTAGTCTCCAAAAACGAGCGACATAGAACAGACGTCTGCCTTTCAAACAAAGAGGGCTCGGAGTGCATTATTCTGAAACGAAAAGAACAAAATCAATCAGGGTTTAAAAAGCAATGTATCTGTCACCTGAGGTGAGCAGGACAGTTCAGTTGGTCAATAGCCATAAAAACCTGGGACCGTAGTATCACAGAGATTGAACTCTTCTCAATCCTAGTCACACAAGATCCCCGTCAAGAAATTGACAGGATACAACAGCAATATAGAACTGGATAAGGGTCAGTCAGAGAGATTCGCCACCGGACCTGTCGGATCCATAATCCTAACAACTCGATAGGTTGGGGCATAAGCAACCTCCGGAAGTCGCAACTCGAGACGAAGAGTGCGGATGACGAGGTTCGGATTTGTGAGCCTCGGAATACTTATACAACTTCCATCAGTCGATGCGAACTGAGCTACGACTCTCTCAGCTGTAACACCTTCCAGTGCCTAGCTGCCATGCCACCCGAAGGTTGCACGAGGGCTGGGATACTGTCAGGTTGCCCAAGCCTAGACAGGGGAAGTCGAGAGGCAGAGGTCGCGTTCGAATCACGGGCCTTCCGATCAGTAAATTCGTGCTCCAACCACCAGAGCCATCTCGCCCCATCTCGAGCTACGACTCGCAGAAATGTGAGGTTATAGTTTTCGACTGGTATTGTACCCTGGGTGGCCGTCTATTGGTTAAGTCTGCACCGAGCTCGCCAGACTATGCGATAAGGAGAAGATAGAGAACACTGGACAAGGCTGTATTATTAGGACAAAACATACAGGGCTTCTGCATAAATATATAGGATGAATAAATGGCCAATTATGGCCGTTCACTTGTTCGTTCTGTACAGCCAATGGCAGTGTTCCGGTCGTGAACACTTTCAGCCTCACTCTGCCGGTCGTATGTTGCTAAGTCGTGTTTGGGGTGCCCCGCCAAAGCGCCTGTTATCCGAAACATGTCGTACCGATGGTGACCTTGGGGATGCGTCATTCTCTGCACATAGTCTTTTTTTCATTTCTGGGCGTGTCCTGACAACTGGCCACTTCACTCATCCATCCTCACATGCAACGAAGTCGCAGAGATATCAATATGAGAGAGGAGCTGCTTCACTGAAGACGACGTTTCTGACGAAAAACCACCCGGTAAAGCTGCATGGATATATCTCCGTCACCTGTGTCATCAGCATAAGACTGATGGACCGCTTGTAAAACGTTTCAGTACATTCTGTGCCAATGCGCAAGTGTTTGACGGCATCAGTTAGCTAGTAGCTTTCGAGCATCGCAGCCTATGGAACACTATGTTTCGTGGGAAAAAGGCGTGAGCAACTAGCAAATGAATGACAGGGGAATTTGTTTTTGTTTGAACAGCGATCTTACGAGGCTGAAAACTGATTCTACCCTCCTGGAAAATCGCCTTAATGGCGCTCCCTCTCTAGGATAAGCAAGCTCAACAAGAGATTCAGTTGTCTCTAGACTGTCCCTGCTGTGTTGCAACGACTTCCTTTCCGAGTGCACTCACGCTTTTGATGATGATACGACCCCTCCAATTTCGGATTCTTAATATTTTTCGAAGTTCACTCCATTTATTGATCAGGTGACATGGTGACCGCGGGCAGGCGTATGGTGCGCCGAACGGTCTTACAAACGTTCACCCTTCTATCCCGTTGAATGCAGCAACTCTCACTCCTACTAAATCCAGGTGTGCTTCTCTTTCTCCCTTATTCACTTTTTATTAACTTGAACTCTGTCCTTCAATAGTCCAACTGCTCCCTTAGTGAATTATCACTTTCACTACACCCAACTGGTTCCAGGTAAAACGAGGTATAACTCAGTTCCAAAAAGCTTCCCACTCCGAAAACGCGGAAAATAAATATATGAATTTCTCTACGGCTCCAAACGTGGTTATATGGAGAGTGGGAGCGGATGCGTGAACTGATCAACCGAAAACCATAAGTAACCTTATCAGGTGAGGCTGAGTGTTAACCGACAGAAGTCACCAGTCATAAGAATACATTCCGACCGAATCAGTGGCAAGTAGAGTCAGCAGGAATGTCTATTACGAGGTTGAGTACAGATGAAGGGATCATGCACTTCCGTCGAACAGCATCATTGTCATCACCATCATCAGAGACAGCAACAGCAGCATTGAGACCAATGCTTTATCGCCTTACAAACATAGGGTCTATCTAATCATATTTAAAGCTTTTAAGTGAAAAATATGAGAATGAATGAGGGAGCAACCTGGTGGAAACCTCCCCCAAGAATTCTGATGTCTACACCTCCAAACACTTATTCAGATAACCTGGAAAAACACTGACAAGAATGCCACTGACATCGACTAGCCGTCATTTTTGCAACGTTTTTTGTCAACTACAGGAGGGAATAATGGGGATGACTTGGGGAACAACACTCGTCTCGGTAGACAATGTTTCGGCACGTAGCCTATCCAACTCAACTGACCGTGCTGGATGTCTTCCGCTGCACAACCAAATATCCGTTTTCCAACCAATTTATTATCATTTCGTTGAAGTCATTCATTGCCAACAACACTGATGAGACATCGGAAGGCAAAAACCTGAAGACACCTCACATCATCGGTCCGCAGAGGTCATGTGTGACAACATTACAGCAACGCAGTTCACATTGATACACACAACCCTACAGCCCCGATGATATCCTTTTGACCCCATCAGTGGCGCAAAAAGACAAACGGGATCTGGGTACTTACTACACCAGATACACTGTCGTCAGAGCCAATACAATTGCCAAGGCATGTAAACTTCTCGACGACCATCTTGAATTGCGAGAAGCACATTCAGAGACCGAATTATGACTTTGCAAGATGTGTGTTGGAGGATAGTATGGCGGTGGCCAAGTTATTCCACGGTATTTGTGCTTCATCTTCGTCTCAACGCATGAGGACGACGCCGTCTGCATTTTCCAGATCAACGGGGTCCTCACCAGCATTTTGAAGAACCTCTGAAATTCACCGCAATTCATCAACTACAAGATGAACAAGAATGAAGAGGGTGGACACACATGCCGACACTTTAGGAGGGTGTTAGAGAGCTTACCACACACTGTCACACGCCCAGAGATATGTGAATATAAGGACCGGATTATGTTCGCAAACTTCTGGGGCATACCTTGTTGGTGTGTGTAGGACCTATGGACAGAATCGACCGCCCCCTTCAAGTCAAGGAACACCAAGATTAAAGGTCGTCCGTACATATGGCGTTCATCTAACACCTGATGGAGTGCGATGTGGTCAATGAAGCCTCTGCCAAGTCGAAATCATGCTGGATGATCATGTGTCGAGGTTCCGAGTGCCCAAAGATGATGAACTAGTGACGCCAGAAGCCTTGTCACAACGGGAGTCAAGCTGGCCATCTGTGGTTACTAAATTCAGTGCGAACACTTTCGAAGATGGGCTCTATTATCTGTGACGGTCTCCTCCCAGATAGATGCAAACAGGCTATACAGGCGATGGCTGAGGGATTTACCGCCGTCCTTGAGTAGAGTAGTTGGTAGGCGGCTGATATAAGGAGCAAAAGGATGCTTGAGTACACACGGACTCCCTGGGGCTCAAGGGGGCTCCACGTTTACGGTCTCTGTTTCTGTCCAAGGCTGATGGCGAGAATCGGAGGTCGCAAGTCGCTAATCGGATTTTTTTCCAAGCATTCCGCCCAACGATCCAGACGCGTTTTGCTGTACATCATTGTGACATTGTGACAGATAGCTGCTGGGACGTATAACGAGGTGTTGTAATCAAATCACTGCACTCTTTTGACAACTAGGAATGAGGATATCGGTGTCCCGTCCGGCTTGTGTTTCATCAGAGGTCCAACAGGCTGTTAGGTTGATGAGCTGTAGTCAATGAGCTGTAGGCCCGGCCGCTCTGAATAAACAAGGTAGTTGATCGGGACCAAACGCTTTTCAGGGTTAGCTTACGCTCTCGATGGATCTGATATGGCACACGAGTGCGGATGCAAAAGTCAATTTACGGCTGGAATGAATGTCATGGATAGATGTTTTATCAGTTCGCCATTCATTTGTGCATTCCAGATAATGCATGTATGGTATCATTCGAATAAGCCGCTGATTACTATTCCATATCCCATCTTTATTTTACGATTAGCTGGATTTATATACACTCGCGACTTATCGACTGGTAATACTAGATCATCTGACCCATGTGCTTCGACGAAGATCCCGACATGATTGTGCGCTAAAACGGTGGGGTCACCGACCTTACTCCTCGGGCATCTAACTCGGATACATTAAGTCGACGAACCATGGCATCCTTGACACATTTATTTATTGACTTCCGTTCATGACTATGCTTGGTCAGAACATCGAACTCCCAGTGTTGAGGTATATCAAAAGGTTTTAGGAAATAACTCTTCTCCATAGGTTGCGCTGGTTGGCTCCGTCTCACAGTCTGAAACCCCTCCAATTCCAGATGAGCCACATCTACACATTACAATCTTCGGTTCGATGACAGCCAAAAGGATGTCCCAACTTTTTCAAGGGAAGGCCACCGCCAAAACAATTTGAAAACTGCAGTGGTTAGGTTAGCGTTCAACGAAGGTGAAGAATCTAACCCCGATAACTACCGCCATTTAGCTAATTTCGGGTACTAGTGTCGAGTTAAACGTAAACAATATATTCCCCATGCCAATTAAGTGAATGAATGCTTCAAACACCGGAACAAACTGGATGTGACATACATGGACTTCAGCAAGACCTTTGGTAAAACTTGTCGTAGTCGTCTATCAGTCAAGCTCAAGGTCTATGGATTCGAAAATAATCCAGACTGCACTTGCGTCTCCCCAGCTGCCAGGACGATTAGCACACTTGCCAACTGTACTTTATCGCCACTGTCTCCAGTTACGAGTGGGCGGGGCTTCGCCCATAGTATTCAAGATTATTGTAATGGGCGCCGCAAAGGCTGCAGAATTCGACTGTCTACTACATTGGGACCAAATGAAGATGTGGGCATTGGCAGCGTCCATCACAACACAAGAAAGCTTCAAGCAGCTCTGGACTCGTTGCAAGTTCCATACTGCAGGTGTGTTGAGATAAGCACCGTGTATCCTCCCATGATTTGCCGCATTTTTACCAGTGAAATTCCTAGCTTCACATGTCTCTCCCATTCTGATAGCTTCTTTAAGTGCTACGTTTTATTCCGATTACTTAACGCAACTGACCGTAGTTCGAACCGACCTTATCAAACCATTTTCGTGCACTGATGCCCCATGCCCATTGGAGAAAAGCAGCCTGTTTCCACTGTCAATCGTAGTGTACCACTTGAAAACTGCTATTTTTTCTGCTCAATATCATCATTCACCCTGTCGTTATCGGTCACGAAGCTTGCTTTTGAGGCTCAACGGGACTTTGCACCTTTTGCTGAGTGACTTGTTGTGAGTGGCCCTAATTCCCAACGTGAAAATTTTGGGTTAAAAGACGGGACTTATCCACTCGCGACAGTGGATTATTATTGCGATTACCGGAGGTCTGGAATACCAGGGAAGTAGAACTTTCTCTGCTTGGTGTGGTGGTTCAATAGAATACGGACCTGCAGAATTTCCTCTTGTAAACTGAGTCAAGATTTTTGGATTGTTCTCCTTGTGACATTATATCTCACCTATATTAAGTTTGTTCTATTCATCAGGGACTCCCTAGAGTTGTTGGCCATTATAGGGGTATTATAGTGGGCGAGTCTCCAGTTGAGTCCCTTATTCCCCCTCTAAACTTTTATTTAATTTCGTGTTCATTCTTCGACAGTAGCTACTGACTTTGAAGATATTTCAACCGGAACACATTGGAGGTAATAACGTGACCATGCGACTAATTTTGCTCAGTACCTTGTTAACTTGTGTTCAACGAAAATCCTCTGGAATTTATAAGGTCAGGGAATTACTGGCACCAACTTATTCCGCACTACTCAACCGACGGGGCGGAGGGTGAAGCACCAACTTCAATACCCCG